TTCTTATGTCTATACTCTATAACAACATTTTCGGGTAGTACAAGCTAGGGTACAGCTAGTCCGAAAGTTTTATCAGACTCCTATATGTCATAAATAGCTTCTTCTTAGTATTATAAAGAGGACCTTTATCGAAATTATCAACCGCATTTTTCTTTTAGAATTCAAGTTTTTACTTATGATACTATGAAACATCGAAATCGTCAACAGTTTTTCATAGTAGGTATCATAAGTAAAAACTTGAATTCTAAAAGAAAAATACGGTGCGAAGATGGACTCAATAAATTAGGAGGTTTGGAGCACCCTCTCCTCAAACTATAAGCATTATTTTATAGCATTTATTCGGTTCTGAGCAAATTAATAAACAATTTATATAGAATTGTATAGAAATGTCGAAAATAAAAGTCGAAATGTTGAAATTAAAAGTCAACATTTTTAATTTTTTTTAAGTTGATATTATTTTAAAGTCGAATTTAAAACTCAAAATGTCGAAATTAAAAGTCAAAATGTCGAATTTAAAAGTCAAAATTTAAAGTCGACATTATTGAAATTTTGACTTTGGAAGTCGACATTATTGTAATATCGAATTTAAAACTCGAAATGTCGAAATTAAAAGTTGAAATGTCGAATTTAAAAGTCGAAATGTCGAATTTAAAAGTCGAAATGTCGAAATTAAAAATCGAAATAACAATATTTTTTTTTTTTAGTTGGCACTACTACGCTTCCGTACTGTCATCACCTTACCACCAGACCAGAATAAAATTAACTATTTTATTAATGTAGGCATGGGATGATAAAATAAAGGAAGGTAGGTATTAATAAATCAGAAAATAAAACTAGTATGTAATAGTACTGTTGTTGCGATTTTGTTGGGCGAACGCATATGTGGCGCTCATAGCGGAATTTCTCTATTATGGCGACGATAACCGAATCATAATTTTATATGGACGAGATAGCAGAGAGCAGCCCCGTGATCACAGCTGATATATAAAATATTTGTTGATATAATTAGATAAGATATAGATAAGATACAAGGTGGATATCTCGTTATAGATGGTTATAGTGCGCTGTTTGCAATAGTGTCCTGTTTTTATCAGCAGCTGACCGGGCACTGGCCGGTGCCAGCCGGCGGATGCGTTTATTTTCCACTTTGCAGCAAGATAATAATATATACTTATCTATGCTTTGCAGCCTGCAGGCGCAAATAGTAAATACCGCCGATCGGCATATTAATTATTTAATAATCTTAAACAATTTACAACTAATACTGAACATTTATTAAAATGAGTAAAAACAACAAATGTTTTGTTCCGGGTTGTGATATTGGGAATAAAAAACATAGGAAGGAACATACAGCTTTGACTCCCAATGTTAAGTATCCATCACTTTTTGCAGCTCCTAAAAATGATTTAAATATATAAATACAATAAAATACATATATTATGTAAAAGTATAATATTAAACTAACAACGTTAATCAAAATGTATAGGATTTATTTGATGAATGGAGTAAATGTATTCCTAGAGCAGACCTTTATGTCGGACTGATAGAGTGTGTGAACGGCATTTTTTACCAATTTAAAGTGACATAAGTGACACGGAGTGGTGACCAGTACAAAGTGTCATAAGTACGACATTACGTTAATATCTTAAACCAATATTCACGTCTCGGACGAAAATATAAGCCAAATAACCGATTTAATTAAGTATGTTTATAAAATTGATATAATGTTTAAAATTAAAATATCAATATCAATATCAAAAAGCTCCAATATTATTTAAGTCAAATAGAACCATTTTAGAATTAATACAACTATATCGTCGTATAGAAACATAATATATCAACATTATCAACACACTTTTTATAAATAGGTATAAGAAATAGGTATATCATATAACGTAATAGCTAGGTACTTTTACCATTTTTTAGAATTATCCTGAATGGAATGAACCCAGTGGTGTATTGGTAAATATATTTATGGTAATACACACCAATAAAATATGTATGTAACCTAAACGATCAAATTATATCATCGTATATATTATATATTATATAACGTTATTGCAGTTCAATTAGTACATAGTTTTTAACATTATTTTATTAATTTTTTAATAATGCAACAGTAGAAAATAAAACAAAATCAACTCGAATGTCAAACAAATTAATATTAATATTATTTAATTAAATTTAGATCAATATTATTTATTTAATTTAATTTTCATACACATATGCAATACTGGGCCCCACTGAGAAAACTCGTGTGGGGGCCCAGGAGTTCGAAAAATAAATTTCGTACAGAATACAGGTACAGAAAAAAAAAGATTAAAAATTACAAAATGAAATTAGCGTATGAAGCGTACAATCTATGGAATTTTCCACAAAGATTTTTTGTATTCAATATTGGGTTTACTAAATTGAACTTAGTCTTAAAATACATTAAACAGTAAACACAACGCATATTGTTATATAGGTACTTATTCAATGCCTACTTCAATAGATAAATAATTCATTAATACATAATAACGAATAACGTTTTTTTCCTATATGAACTATTAAATAAATTTTAAATCTTATTTGGTTTTCTGGATATTTTAAGAGCGTTATATCCGTAAAATAAGATTTTACATTGGGTATACGCCGAAAATCGAAAATCTTCTGACGGGTATACGGCGTATACCCGCGTTCCCGTACCAATACACCATTGAAAGTACCTATCAGAATTATGATTTATCTGTACATAATATATATTAAACAAAAAATTACTTACCTAAGATGAGACAAGATTTTGTTCTATGTTCGCCTCTCAGTTCTTCATAGTATAAAATATGAACGTGAAATGACGATACAATTCAAATAATATTAGTTATATACTTATATTGTTGACCGTTGTTACTCATGATAATCAAATAATAACGGAAACACCCAGATACCCAGTACAAGAAGCTTATAAAAAAGCATGCATTTGGTTTTTAGTTTTTACGAGAATTTACTAATCGTTATCGCGGTTTAAATAATTCCGAATTTATAACTAATTCTAAGTTCTTTCTATTAGTTTATTAAAAAATATAGTAATAAAATAAATTAATAAGTAAATAATAAGTAACTTTCTAAATTAACTTTAGCTAGTCCAAAGTCTTATGTTTGAGTAAAGCTAACAACATAAAGAGAGAGTTCTGCATAACACAAATATGCAAATAAATTCATGGCACCCTCATTTTCATATTTTTTTTTTAATTCTTAATATAGATTTGGAACAGTGTTGGTCAAATAATCGATAAATCAATCGATTTTATATGATTTTTTTTTAAATTTTAAACTTTTAACAAATTTTAAATATAAATAAAATCGGTTTGAAGACAAATTTCAAAAATCTGTTCCAACAGTTGTTAGCAAAAACTTCTCACGTTTAGTTTGGTACCAAAAACATGTTTCTAGTTTCCATGACCAACTGCTTTTTTTTTTATAGGCCTGCAGAGTACTGACGGCATCGGTAACAGTCAGTGGTCACCTGTGCGGCTGTGCTCAGTGTTGGGTACTAACTACTAACGTAACGCAAGTTACAAATTACTGTAACGCAATTACTTTTTCAATAACACAGTAGTAATTCCATTACATTTTATTTAAAGTAACGCAATTACTTTTTAAAAGTTATTTCTATGAAGTAACGCACTAATGCGTTATTTTTTACGTTACTTATTAAAATAATAGTTTTTAATGTATTACAAAAACAAGCCGATGAGATATTCCAGAAAAATTAAAAATCAATTTTATTTATTATTAATTTTTGATTCCGATGATAGTTAATGATATTATTAGAGATTCCATGAATTAATGTCATTGCTTCCATTATCAGAAAGAAGAGTTCGGCTTAAAAATAAAATTTAATTAAAATGAATTATGATTTACGACTTATGAGTAAACCACCTATCTACCTAATATATGGGTATAAACATATATGCAGGCTATTTATTTTGGCAAATTTAAAACTGACTATACCCATTTTAAAAAAAAAGTAACGTTCTTGTAACGCACTACTTTATTTATGAAAAAGTAAAGTAACGTGATAAAAATAATTTTAGGTAACGCAAATTTGTGTTACACCAAAAAGAAAAATCAATTTTTCCAAAAAAGTGCGTTGCGTAAAAATGTCAGGTTTTTCCTTGATTTTTTGTTTGTTTTTCCCGCTGCGTTTAAAATGTATTGAAAATTTTTTACTTTTGACCCCCCAAAGTACCAACTAGATTCACTTTCCTATCAGAAAAGTTGCTGGTCGAGAAAATCGGAGCACTTTTACTGCCTCAAAACGTGGTGACAGACAAAAAAGTCGCTCCGCTCAGAATCTAAAATGAGTAATTCATTAAAATGTACGATAAGTTTTTTAAGTTCAGGTGTCACTCCATCCAATATGTTAATTTAAAAATTAACCCCCCCCCCTCAAAGTTCAGGTCTAAGTACGCCACTGTTGAGACTATAGAATATATAGATGATTAAATTTTATCACAAAATCCTGAGATTTTTCATCAGGGGGGCTATGGAAATATTTAGTTGCGCCTATGGTTGTAATCTACCTACCTATAATGCTATAACCATTATTAAATTGAAAAAACAAATGATCACATAAAATGATATAATATTTTGATTTTTTAGATTAAACAATTAGAAATTAGGTATTTACTGCTTATTAGTAACACTATTATGTACAAAGTGCATTTTTGTTTTAGACAATTGTTGTACTTATTGCAAGTTACGACAGACATGATAATTTGTATTTTTTGAAACTAAACAATTTTAATACCTACAATATGTGTATAGAATCATTTTTAAATATTATTATTGTTATAAATATTTGTGTTTTATTTATAATTAATTTAGCAACAACTACGGGCAAATCCGGGTAATTCAGCTAGTAATTACCTACGTAAATATAAATATTATAAATTATAGAACTACACAATTGAAGTACATACATTTGTTTTTGTTTGTGTTGGTTAAACTAACAAATATTAAATTAATGGGACTATAATGGCTTTAGTTGACACCTCGATCAACAATTTGAAAGGTAATGCTAAACTCGGAGAAGTGATGTCACTAAAAAGTTCCGGCGGCGAAACGGCGGCGAATAGAACGGCGGCGAAATGAACGGCGGCAAATAGAGCGGCGGCGAAATGAACGGCGGCGAAACGATCGCGGCGAAATGAATGGCGGCGAAACGATGGCGGCGAACTGGTCGCGGCGAATAGTCCGGCGGCGAAACGATCGCGGCG